AATAAAGGTGTCCGAGGCCCAGGGGGGGCTGCCCTGGGAAGCCTGGGGGGGGGGCAGGGGGACGAACGACACGACACGACACGACACGAAAATAAAGGTGTCCGAGGCCCAGGGGGGGGCTGCCCTGGGAAGCCTGGAGGAGGGGGGGCAGGGGGACGAACGACACGACACGACACGACACGAAAATAAAGATGTCCGAGCTCTAGAGCACAGCTGTGCAAGAGAATAAAGATGTCCGAGCTCTAGAGCACAGCTGTGCAAGAGAATAACAAATCCTGACAAAACAAGCGAATTAGTCGAGACATCCTCGAAATTCCTGCGCGCGGGACGCGGCCCGCGCGAGACATCCTTTGAATTCCTGCGAGCGGGACACGAAAACAAGCATTTCGCCTGAGACATCCTTTGAATTCTGGCCCCCCACGAAGCCCCCGCTCGAGACATCCCCAAATTTTGCAAAACCAGCGTTTCGCTCGAGACATCCTCAACCAATTATAAACAAGCGTTTCGCTCGAGACGTCCTGCCAAAATTCTAAGATATCCTGACAAAACAAACGAATTAGTCGAGACATCCTCGAAATTCCTAAGCGCGGGACGCGGCACGCGCGAGACATCCTCGGAATTCCTGCGCGCGGGGCGCTTTTCCGCGTCGCGGTCGGGGCTCCAGACCCCGTTATTTGTCGAGGATTCTGCGAAAAACGCTCCGCACCCTCTTCTTCACGAGGGAAAACGGGTGTCTGCGGACCCCGTTTTTTATCGAGGATCCGAGATGGGGGGCGCACTTTCCTCGAGCGGGCACGCACGAAACGCACTTCTTTAAGAAAGAAAGAAAAACTTTTTAATACAAATTATATATATTATATATATAAATAAATATTTTTTAAATTTTTTTTTTATTTTTTTTTTTAAAAAAAAAAAAAAAAAAAAAAAAAAAAAAAAAAAAAAAAAAAAAAAAAAAAAAAAAAAAAAAAAAAAAAAAAAAAACGTTATTTACGCAGAATAATTTCGCGGGCCCCCTTCAAGTCGAAACCGGGGGGTAAACCTGCTAAAAGAGAACCCTGGGCCGCAGCCCTTCCCGGGAAAAATTACAAATCCACTGATTCCCAGTAGTTGCGGAATGATCTTGGCGCTTTTGCCTCTCCAGGCGTCCGTCATCCCAAGATGGCCCAAGAGGTCCCAGGGATCATCCCGAGACGGCCCAAGAGTCAGAATTGCCCAAGAACCCCCCAAGACAGATGCCTAGCAAACCAGGAAGGTCCCACGACGGCGCATGAGACCCGCGAGACGACCCTATTGGGGACAGAGGAGGGCGCCGAAAACGGCATCGGAGAGGCCCTCCAGACGGACGCGGGAGGCTCAAGGCCCCGAGAGGCCTCCAAGACGCCCCCAAGAGGCCTCCCCCAGAGGGAGGAGAAGGAGGAGGAGGAGGAGGAGGAGGAGCCCACAACGAAAGTCCCGGAGAGGCGGAGGGCGGAGGAGGACAACGACGACGAGTACGAGGAGAGGCACCACAGCACGGCCAGGCGCCACTGCGTTCCAAACCTCGGGGCACGAGGTACGGTGGCGGGAGCTGCCGCAGGCGGCTGGATCCGCCGCCCCCTGCTTGCAGGGGTGCACGGCGTGCTGGATGTTTCAGGTTTTGGTTTTGGTTCTTTTTCCAAAAGAACTCCCCAGTGGGCTCCGGCAGAACCCGCCGGCCACCCGGAAGGTGCTCAACGACCGGAAAAAATCCTCCAAAAACGGCCGTTTCGCTCGGGACATCCTCAAAAAATCGCGAAGATGGCCCAAGATGGCCTCCAAGTCCGCCCGAGATGGTCCAAGACGGCCTCCAAAACGGCCCAAGAGAGTCCAAGACGGCCCAAGACGGCCCAAGAGGCCCCCCAGAGGCCTCCCAGACGGCCCAAGAGGCCTCCAAGAGGTCCTCCAGGAGAGTCCGAAGAGGCCAAAATCATTGATTTTCCTTGGTTTTTGAAGGATTTTGGCATTTGCGCCTTTTCGGCTCTCCGACGGCTCAAGACGGCCCAAGAAGCCCCCAAGATCGCCCAAGAGGCCCCCAAGAGAGCCCCCTGATGGCCCAAGTGGCCTCCAAGATGGCCCCTAGAGGGCCCCAAGACGGCCCAAGAGGCCTCCAACACGCCCAAGATGGCCTCCAAGACGCCCAAGATGGCCTCCAAGACGGCCCTGGAGCGCCCCAAGAGGGTCCCCCGTTGGCCCAGAAAGGCCCCCAAAACGGCTCCCGACGGCGTCAGACGTGCCAGGAACCCACCAAGATGGCCGAAGTTGGCTCGAAGCTGGCCCAAAAGGGCCCAAGAGGCCCCCAAGAGGGCCTCCAGGAAGGCCAAAAGATGCCAAAATCACTGATTTTCCCAAGGTTTTTGATGGATTTGGGCATTTCCCATTTTTCGGCCTTCCGACGGCCCGAGACGGCCCAAGAGCCCCCAAAGATCGCCGAAAGATCGCCCAAGAGGCCTCCAAGACGGCGACGATGACCATCAAGACGCCCACGTGTTCCCCGAAGGCTTTCCAAACCGATTCGGGGAACACATGGTCCGATGGCTTGGCAGGTCTGGCCTCAACGTTCGGCCACATACGCGCTTCCACAAAGGCAGGGGGCGGCGGTGATTCGCCGTAGGCGTCTTCGATCCGCCGCCCCTTTTGATTCATCAAAGGGGTGCCTGGCGTGCCGAATCCCATCGGTTTTGGTTTTGTTTCTTTTCCACAAAAGAACTCCCCCTGGGGCTCCGGCGCGTCCCGCCGGCCACCCGAAGACCCGGTTGCAAACGGTTTTCCTGCCCCAGACGGCCCCAATATGGCCCAAGATAGCCCAAGATGGCTTCCAAGACGGCCAAGATGGCCCGGGATGGCCTCCAAGATGCCTCCAAGACAGCCAAGATGGCCTCAAAGACGGCTACGATGGCTCCAAGATGCACCCAAGACGGCCCAAGATGGCCTCAAGATGGTCTACGACGGCCCAAAAGGCCAGCAAGAGGCCTCCAAGAGGTCCTCCAGGAAGGCCCGACGAGGCCAAAATCATTAATTTTCCTAAGGTTTTTGAAGGATTTTGGCATTTGCGCCTTTTCGGCTTTCCGACGGCCCAAGACGGCCCAAGAGGCTCCCAAGATCGCCCCAAGAGGCCCCCAAGAGGGCCCCATGACGGCCCAAGTGGCCTCCAAGACGGCCCCAAGAGGGCCCCAAGACGGCCCAGGAGGCCTCCAACACGCCCAAGATGGCCTCAAAGACGCCCAAGATGGCCTCCAAGACGGCCCCGAAGCGCCCCAAGAGGGCCCCGAGTCGGCCCAGAAAGGCCCCCGAGACGGCTCCCGACGAAGTCCTACGTGCCAGGAACCCACCAAGATGGCCGAAGTTCACTCGAAGCTGGCCCAAGACGGCCCAAGAGGCCCCAAAGAGGGCCTCCAGGAAGGCCCGAAAAGGCCAAAATCATTGATTTCCGATAGGTTTTTGATAGATTGTGGCATTTGCTTCTTTTCAGCCTTCCGACGGCCCGAGACGGCCCAAGAGCCCCCAAAGATCGCCGAAAGATGATCGCCCAAGAGGCCTCCAAGATGGCCTCAGAACGGCCCAAGAGGGCCCCAAGACGGCCCCAAGAGGCCCCCAAGACGGCACAGGAGGCCTTTCAGACGCCCAAGATGGCCTCGCCCTGGAGCATTCCAAGAGGGCCCCAAGTCGGCCCATAGAGGCCCCCCAAACAGCTTCCGACGGCGTCAGACGGACCAGGAGCCCACCAAGACGGCCGAACATGGCCCTAAGATGGCCCAAGAGGGCCCAAGAGGCCTCCAAGAGGGCCTCCAGGAAGGCCCGAAAAGGCCAAAATCATTGATTTCCGATAGGTTTTTGATAGATTGTGGCATTTGCTTCTTTTCAGCCTTCCGACGGCCCGAGACGGCCCAAGAGCCCC